TAGCTAGGGACTACAGGCGCCCGCCACCCCCAGCTCGCCCGGGCTAATTTTTTGTATTTTTAGTAAGAAACGGGGTTCACGATCTCCTGACCTTGTGATCCGCCCGCCTCGGCCTCCCAAAGTGCTGGGATTACAGGCGTGAGCCACCGCGCCCGGCATGATGCTGGTTTTTGAAATGGGGTTACTATTCCCATGGTGAGTGTCTTGGGGGAGTTTGGGGATGGTAGTTGGAGTTTTATAAATTCAACTGAGGTCTTTCCTTTCATTCTGGAGGGTTATTAGAACCCTCGTGAAGGGGGTTGCTGTTTCAGGAGGAGCTGCTGTGGCCAACCAGGAGTGCGCTAGGTCACATTTCTGGTTTTCCTCCTGCTCAGCTGGGCTGCTGCTTCTGGTGTCTGGATGCTTCCACAGTTCTCTACTTCTGAAGTGGCGATCCAGGGCGGTCAGGCAAGGGTGAATCGCTTTTCTGTGTCACGCTGCTTTTTTTCTGACATAGTGGCAGTGTCTGCTGAGTCGTCCCAAAGCACAGAGTTTTGTATCTTCGTGGGCAGGAGCTGGAGTCCACCCTGTTGCTTTAGTGGGTGGCCTTTGAACGAGAAAGAGAGCCGGTCTTACTTGTTGGGCGTAATTCTCCTGAGAATCAGAACAGGCTTCATGCTAGAGCGTTTATCTCTGCAAATGTTTCTTCCTCTCTTCTTCCATCGCTCTCAACCCTTCTTTTTTTTTTTTTTCCCACTTGTCTGCAAAGTTTTATTTCATTCCAACATTGGGTGGGTTGGTTTACTTTACTAAAATCCAAGAAAAACAAGGCTGAGGTTTTTGCTGTTGGAAATGAAAAGCCCTTTCATGAAAACGTCCATCCCGGTCAGCATGGCTTATTCTGTCTGGTGAGGAGAGAAGAAGCCTTGAAGACATTTCCTCTTGGTGATTTAATTTTTAAGAACCCCCTTCAGGAAGCCTGCCCTGTGATGCGTTTTAAGAGAAATACCAGTTAGTGAGGTTTCATCAGCACTGAGGAACACTTGGCTCTCTCTTGCAGACTAAGAAATACCGAGCAGGAGGAGTCTTGGCATTTGGAACAGGTAAATCAAGAACCTGCTCTTGTTGGTTTGCGAGTGCCTTTAAAGCGAAAGCAAGAAACTTAGAAGAAAAACATCACAGATCATGCACACTTAAAATGAAAACATGCAAAAGAAATAAATAAAAATAATAAAAACATGCAAATAAAGGAGAAAATAAAAACCCCATTCAGCACTGTGAATCTTTTCAGCCTTCTAGCTTTTAAATTTTTCTTTGTATAGGACAGTTAAACAAAACCAGAGTCATAATTGACCATTTTAACCCAGTTTAAGTCAACATATTGTTACCACCTCTTGACATCAGTGCATCTGCTTCTGCAACACGATCTTTGGTGGTAGTGGTGGTGGTTGTTGAGAGGGAGTCTCGCTCTTTCGCCCAGGCTGGAGTACATTGGCGCGATCTCGGCTCACTGCAACCTCCGTCTCCCGGGTTCAAGCGATTCTCCCGTCTCAGCATCCCGAGTAGCTGGGACTACAGGCGTCCCCCCACCACGCGTGGCTAATTTTTGTACTTTTAGTAGAGATGGGGTTTCACCGTGTTAGCCAGGATGGTCTCGATCTCCTGACATCGTGATCCACCCGCCTCAGCCTCCCAAAGTGCTGGGATTAGAGGCGTGAGCCACCGCGCCCGGCCCTGCAGCATGATCTTAATGGCTCATAGCTTTTCTGCTGTGTAAATGAATATGCTACAATTTGAGTATTTCTCTGTCTTTAGTATTTTAGGTTTTAACTTTTTTACCATTATAAGCTTTCTTGTAGCTGAATCTTCCTGCACAATTTATTATTTTTTTTGGTTAAGTCTTTAAAAATGGAATTGCTGGGAATGATATGTAGGTTTTTTTTTTTTTTTTTTTTTTGAGACGGCAGTTCTCGCTCTGCCGCCCCCGGCTTGGAGTGCAGTGGCCAGATCTCAGCTCACTTGCAAGCTCCGCCTCCCGGGTTCACGCCATTCTCCTGCCTCAGCCTCCGAAGTAGCTGGGACTACAGGGCCCGCCATCTCGCGCCGGCTAGTTTTTTGTATTTTTTTTTTTTAGTAGAGACGGGGTTTCACGTGTTCGCCAAGGATGGTCTTGATCTCCTGACTCGTATCCGCCCCGTTCTCGGCCTCCCAAAGTGCTGGGATTACAGGCTTGAGCCACCGCGCCCGGCCGGATATGTAGGTTTTAAAGCATTTAAGAAAATGTTTTCCGTCACCAAATTGTCCTCCAGAAAAGTATTGCCAATCTGACACAGGAAGAATGGCATATCAGCGGAGTTTTAGTTTGTATTTCCTGGAGTGTATTTGAGCTGATGTTTCTCTGCATGTTAATAAACAAGTATTTTTGTGCATGTGTGAGTCTGTGTTGTGGTGTAGGTGTTCTCCAGCCTGAGGCCTCCGTTTCTCAACCTGCGCGTGGAGGTCGGCCGAGGCAGCCTCTGAAGTCCATGGAGCCCTGGACAGTGCCCAGAGTTTCTGTAGGGTTTCTTTCATTGTGGTATTATCCTTTCTTACAAGTTTCAGATATAGGCCATCAGTCTGCGTCATTCAGCAAGGAATAAAGAACATGGAAATGCCTACTTTTCACTACCTTTGTTCTGATGTAACATTCTCCTTGTAAAGGGCAGAGGGTAGTAGGCTAAGGCAGACAGCAGCAGGACGGTGCTGAGAACGGCTCTGAAGAGTCTCCATTTTGTGCTGACTTAAAAGTTTTCTGTACTGTTGGATGATCTCTTGATAATTAAAAAAGAAATTATGATAGTCATAGCTGTTCAACCAAATCTGCAGTTACTTTATTCAGCAAGGTCTCAGGCTCCTAATTTTAGAGCTCCTAGAATTTTGTAGTCCTCTCAAGATCGGGTTCTGGCTGGGTGCCATGGCTCACGCCTATAATCCCAGCACTCTGGGAGGCTGAGGCAGGTGGCTTACTTGAGGTCAGGAGTTCGAGACCAGCCTGGGCAACATAGCGAGACCCTGTCTCTATTGAAAAAGATTGGGTTCAGGCCGGACGCGGTGGCTCATGCATGTAATCTAAGCACTTTGGGAGGCTGGGGCGGGTGGATCACTTGAGGTCAGGAGTTTGAGACCAGCCTGGCCAACATAGCAAGATTGTCTCTATTAAAAAAGATTTGGGCCTGGCGCGGTGGCTCACGCCTGTAATCTCAGCACTTTGGGAGGCTGAGGCAGGTGGATCATGAGGTCAGGAGATGGAGACCATCCTGGCT